ATTATCAATGGAATTTTCGAGGAAAAAAAAAAAAAAAAAAGAAAATTGAACTGTACTATTTTCGATCTGACGAAGTGTAGATATTACGTTTAACGTTCTCTTAACGATTTTCAGAAAGAGCTGTTCGGGGCTGGAGAAGCCGGCCAACCGGATGGGGTGAGCAGCCGGAAGATGTCGAATGGCTCTACCGGAAGCACCAAGCACAAATGGTTGAAAGCATTCAAGAGCTTGAAGACCAGCTCCCCGACGACTCCTCCATCAGCTGACAAGTCAGTAACTTTTCACAACGGAAATGGACTTGGTAGAAAGAATGCCTTGACGTCTTTGTGTTCCTCTTCTTTCTTTTCTTTCTTTTTTTGTTTTTTTTTTTTATTGGTTTTTAGATAAACAGTTTTGTTTACAGAATGTGTATAAATGGAAAATGCGTTTTGATTAATAAACGAGAATTATTGTTTTGCGAATGCTTTACTAATACAGAGGAAAACAGGCGATGTACCATGCCGTTTCTACAGTCGTCGCCATGTCCAGGTAAGATGGCTAACGTTATTTTTAACAATTGATTGTCATTAATGAAATATTTGATTTATTCAATTTATTTCAAAAATCCTTTTACTAGAATCCGAAGAAATTGTGAAAACACAAATATATGTTCTATTTAATCTTCTTTGTGAAAGCATGCTTGACACTGTGTCTAAGATTTTTATCTTGATAAAAAAATTACTAAAAAAAACTACATCTTTCAGTTTATGTCAAAGATTCTCTTAATATCATAATCCCAAGAAATTATGTCCAAATCTATGTTCTATTTAATCTTCTTTGTGAAAGCATGCTTGACACTGTGCCTAAGATTTTTATCTTCACAAAAAATTATATCTTCCAATTTATTTCAAAGATCCTCTTAATATCATAATCCCAAGAAACTATGTCTAAATATATCTATCTAATTCTTTTTTGTCAAAACATGTTTGATACTACACCTAAGATTTTTATCTTGACAAAAAAATTACTAAAAACTATATCTACCAGTTTATTTCAAAGTTTATTTCCTCTTAATATCATAATCCCAAGAAACTATGTACAAATATATCTATCTAATTCTTTTTTGTCAAAATATGTTTGATATTACATCTAAGATTTTTATCTTGACAAAAAAATTACTAAAAACTATATCTACCAGTTTATTTCAAAGATCCTCTTAATATCATAATCCCAAGAAATTATATCCAAATATATATTCTATTTAATCTCTTTGTCAAAACTCTTTGTCAAATATTTGATATTACATCTAAGATTTTTTCTTGACAAAAAAATTACTAAAAAAATTATAAACTCTTTCAGTTTATTCAAAGATCTTTTTAATATCATAATCCCAAGAAACTAATGCACAAATATATCTATCTAATTCTTCTTTGTCAAAGCATG